TCAACAGGTGTGGTTCTGAAAAGCAATAAAATCCTACACTACTAACCTGCCTTCGCTTTTCTTATCATTTATCGCTTTAGACTGATGCAGATCATTGCTCTGCTAGGTAAGTATTCTTGTGGTATTCTCCAATTTCTCACTTTTTTCAACTTCGGCATATCAGTCATCGCATGTGTAAGTATTTTGTGTGCCTTTTACGGCTGGTTGGTGTAACATTTATTGCAATGACCTACAAAGGAGTTTAAGTGGACTGAAACTCAGACTTACATTCTCTGCCACCAAGCCCATAGCTCATCTGTAAAGGTTTTAAGAATGTTTCGAGCCTTTGGAGAAAAACATAAGCAAGATGGAAAACAACTTATCAAGGGCTCCACCGTGTTGCGAAGGGATTCGCCACTACACTCTCGCGTTAGTCAGAAAAAAAATCAGAGCCTTTTAACTGTTTCACAGCAACAGTCACACTTCTCAAATGCCCCAAGGTTTTTCACCACTATTAGCAAACGTTGCAGTCAGATTCGTTTGCAACCAGTTTCTCGCAGTTTCCCATTATATTTTGCTCAACTTCGACAGCGTTACAGTCAATTTCGTACTTTTGGACCCATTTGTAAACTTTGTGATCGATTTCGTATATGTTGTACAGTCTCGTGAACTTGGCTTTTTTTACACAAAAACCTTTTCATTTGCCTGTTGATGGCTCAAGTTTTCCGTTCCAGATGTACATTTGAAAATCTTGGCAACTTCTTACAAAAGGAGAATTCCTTTTGAATGTTACTTGTATTGGGTTACCAGTAATAATCGGTCCTTTTCCGGAACAACGCATGATGACATTAAATTGAAAAGTAGCTTCTGGCTTTTTTTTGATTTGATATATATGCTTCCCACAAGAAAGCGTCCACGGAGCGGCGCCAACGAAGACAGGCAAAATTATACTGCCCTTTCAGTAGTACTCGATTGTCTCGTAATTTCTGAATATGAGTGCTGCAGAGTACAAAATTAAAACAAAGTTTATGTCCGAAGTTTTAAAACATTTGCCGTTGGTAGTAACAGTCCTATACGAGTGACTACACGCTCAAGGACGAAGATAGGTCCGGAAACCTATTCTAACTCTACTTCCTCAAGGTGTCACGTATACTGAAATTGGATTTTTGTCAACTCACAAGGGAATTATGTTTATGCTGAAGCTTCCACTAATCCCACTAATGAAAATGGGTTGGAGAAACTGATGAAAAAGGAACTGGGACGATCCATACGGCATTAGATCCGGCCTGCCGATCGATCGTCGTACGTATGCCTGCTTACCTCTGTTTATTGGGTACAAAGGAAACAGAAGGCTGGAACATTTCAGCACCACAGATGGCTGGAATATTTCAGCACCAATTTCGGAAACTGGGTATACAGCTAAAACTTTCACAAGAAAGCAGGGTAAGTGGAGCTGTCATTGAGGGCAGTGTACTTGCTCTAGAACATTGGCAACTACTCATTAAGTGTGCTACTGGCACTGCAATATTTGCACGCAGCGGATAGAATCTGAAACGAGTCCCTGTCGTAATTGAGTCGACGTCGTGGATGGGGTCGTGCCAGCCTGCATTTTGAATGGTCCACATCGGAGCTTCCCGCCTAATAGCTTAGCATATTCCTGAAGAATGCACCACATTATCGCTGGTTGCCAAGTTCGCCCCAGAATCTATCATTGTCAGTGAAGGCGATTCGTTTCGCGGTTTCGCGCGTCGCACATGTTCTCTCCATTTGAGAACGTACATTCTCTGTGAGACTCGAAAATTGCAAGTGGACTGGTAAAAATAACGCCCGCCACGTTTGTCCTTAATCCTCATCCCAGCTTTCTAAGCTTTGGGAAATCTAACATTGTTCATCACTAAGTCAACGTTTTAGATGCCTACTCCCCGAAGAAAAGACAAGAAATAGCCCATCGAGGAATTTTCAAAAGCGTTTCTTTCCGAAGGCGTCTATTTTAGGGGGCACAGCGGATCATTCGCTTATTGTTCATGACACAGCAGATAGGAATGTTCATCGAACAAGGGGCTGGGCTGGCTTTGGCCTCTGGCTTGTTTCTATTCTTGTGCGAGCTTGCGATTTTTTCCTCCACCGCTCATGTAAAGCAGAAACACGGCGTTGCTTTAAATCTTTATGACAGAGTTAGCGGTCACTCCCTCAATATTGACCCGATCGCGCAAAAAAAAAACGAAGCTGCATGCAACGTTGACAAAATTTACTGCAAACTATACAAAATAGGAATTGAATAGCGATAGTATAGTATCGGTAGAGTATCGACTCAAAAATCTACGAAATTGAGTGCTTACGAAACTGGCTTCAATGAAATAGTTTCGATAACTTGGCGGAATCTGAATTTGGAAACTATACACGCTCAGGCCAAGCAAGTTCAACTAGCACCCAAACTCGCTTGGAAGAGGAGAATAGGAGAATAATGACTCGATTGCACACGGCAAGCCATTCTTGAGCCACATATGCATTTGAAACGTCAGATAGGGCAACAGTATAGCATCTGTCATCTCCAGTTGATTTTTGATTTACTCGCGCAGTCGCCACCGCCATCCCCAGTTGCCCCTGCAGCGAGGAGATGCAGCCCAGCAGACTCTCAAGGTACGAGAAGTACCGAACTTCTCTGATTTTGATGCTTTCGCTAAGGAATCCTGTGTTGGTAGCATTTCTAGTGCTCGCTTGACGATCATTCAGATCCAGTCAACTACCGCCTTGGGAAGGCGGTCATCACAAAACATGTAATGTGCCCAACCCACTCATTCTTTGATGGGAGCAAGAGCAGTCCTATCTCATGTTCGTTTGAGACTAGCAGTACTCAGAGTTCTCCGCAGTATCTGCTTGTATCAGACTCACTGAGGTATCGCGAGAATACAAAATGCCGTTATGTCTTACGTTCATCGATTTAAAGAAAGCCTTTGATACCGTCGAGACAGAAGCGGTAATTGAAGCCCTGGGCAACCAGGGTGTCCCTACGCAATATGTAAGGATGCTTCGTGAGCTCTACAACAACTTCACGACCAGGATCTCGCCATTCTATAAAGAAGTCATCATCAACGTGAAGAGAGGGGTTCGACAGGGCGATACCATCTCGCCCAAACTTTTCAGTGCCGCTCTCGAGAACGTCATGCGTCATATGGAATGGGAAAGCATGGGAGTGAAGGTCGATGGCCGCTACTTACATCATCTCCGCTTTGCAGATGACATCGTGCTTATAACACCCAACATCGAGCAGGCGGAACANGCGTTTCTTTCCGAAGGCGTCTATTTTAGGGGGCACAGCGGATCATTCGCTTATTGTTCATGACACAGCNGTTCATGCGAAACGGATTGGTACCTGATGCTCCTTTCATGCTGAACGGAACGAATATCTCTGA